CTATTCCAACACTGCTGACCAATAATATGATCCATAATTCTTACCTGCTTGTTTCTTGACCGACACCGGGCGGTCACTGTGTCTGCAAGGCCTGGTTGACTGGACCAGACATTCTGGCAGACTGTCTCGTAGTAGGTTTGCAAGCAGCTGGAAAACATTTTTGACCATTATAAATATAAAGCATCACAATAAATACATCTAAAACATTCAAGCAAAAATAAATTAAGTTAACAGATTAGTAATAGATACTTACACACTTGTATTACTGCCCACACCATGAAAATCCGGGCTTGCACCTTAAGAGTTCCGAGCAACATGACGTGACCCCCCCGCGTTGAGTGGCTAACAGTCTGTGAAAATAAATGTGAAATTTAACAGTAAATACATTTTTTTCTCATTCATACATTGCATACTTTAATTCTTACCCTCGCAGAGGATCATCCAGGCTTTTATTGGAATCAAAGTTGTGCAGGCAGCATRTGGCCTCCTAAGATGATACAGTAAAAAAGGAACTTTGTGAACTAACTTACTGTGAACATACAGTGAATCTTGGTGTSATTAGAAACAACCAAGTCTTACCACAGTTTTCAAATTGTTCTGTCATTTTTTTCCTGGAGTCCATGTTGGATTCCAGAGCAACAAGTCTTAGAAATACACACCATCTTGTCATTCAGCTCAACAAGCTGTTAGTGGACCTCAGTTGAAACTGAGGAGACAAAAACATTTTTTACTACTCTTCTTTTATGTTTTTATTGGTGTTTTTTCATGTCCATTACAGTGGGTGCCATGACTCAATGAGAGCAAAATGTCATGAAATCTCAGGGTAAATAAGCCATGTTTTAATATAAAATTCATGCAATTACTAATTGGGTATGGCCTTAACATGTGTAGTTGTGGATAATAAAACTTCAAGTAATTCCTTTTGCCTTCAGTAATCTAAAATGGAATTTGTAAATGCATAGACATACTAATACATAATAGTAAACTAATCAATTATCAACTGATTATACAATACCTGATATACTGAACAATTGTTTACTGGCTTTTTTCATGTTATCGCTGGTTCTCGTCTGGTACATATTGTTTGAAATATTCATAGGAACTCATGGATGTCTGGAGGATTCTCAAATGAAGGATCAATGGGCCTCATGCAAGAACCGTTCGTGCGCAGCGCTGTGTCTTCTGAATAAATGAAAATGATTTAACACAGTTGTTTATACTTTTAGCAGCTCTTTTTATTCCACAGCTGACCTGCTAA